CCCCGAAACCCCAAAACCCCAAAACCCCAAAACCCCAGATAAAGTGAATCACAGAAGAGAGTAGTGAAATTTATTTTATAAGTAAATTAAATATGGGAAAGTGCGTATCAACAGGGAAAAAAGCTCATTTTATGTCTCTGTCTAAAAAGAGATTCAAACCAGAGAAACCACCTAGAGGAAAGAAAAACAGAAAAGGTTCTAAATATGATGAGAGTATTAGCTCTGTTAATGATACTCCATAGAAAAAAAGCTTTAGTGATAGCAAACCATTGGTCAAGTTAAATTTTCAACAAAAGCAAATTATGACATTTGATCCCTCTCTCTTTGTGCCCTAAGCAATCCAAAGCTTTCACAGTAAAATTTTTGAAATGCCATTATAAATACTTTAGTGAAGACATAAATAGAAGAAGATCCCGAGGACTTTTACGAAAAAGCTGTAAAAGTATACAAACTGAGATAATAACTACCTGAAGGCTTGATTCCTAATTTAATAGAGGCATGCTAAACTGGTAATGTCGAATAGATGAAGCATTACTTTTCGGCATATTAGATTGACATTCAATAGGTCAAAGCTTAAATGGAAAATATTAGTGTTGGCAACAGAACAATTTAATCCGATTTCTTAAACCTCTTACACTTAGCTGTTTATCATAATTAGCTGAATATACTGAAAATAATTTGTGAGAACGTTCCTACTTTGGACATTGTTTATACTGGGAGAATACCATCAACAAGTGGATTGGCTAATGAATCAGAGATTTCACTTCAGGATGATAAGAGGCAAAACAATAAGCTTTTAGATACGAAAAAATTTTAGTCTGATGATAAGCATTTCATGGCAAGCCCAACTGCGAATATTGATCCAAATGGTATTAATAGCAGTAGTGTTAACATCCAAGTTAGTTAGGCTCGTTCATTAATACTATTCTGGGCATTGGACAAGTAATAATATCCTACTCTCACTTATCTTTGGAATTTCAATAAATTTAAACAAACAAACTGGGGTATTAAAAATCTGGAATTCATGCTATTATTGGCAAATGATCTAAATGAAAATGAGGTCTTTGAAATTCTCCTTCAACCTAAGCCGTTTTCCGAATGTTTGAAAACTCTTTCTTTCGTTGATGCAATGGATTTTATTGAAGATCATGTTGTAAATAACAGATGCGTCAAAGAGGAGCTAAAATTAAAATTGTTATATGCAAGTGAAATGGCGCCTTATTCTTTTATTGGAGCACTGTTTCACTTTACATCTGTTCTAGAAGATGCCTAAGATCAAGAGGATATTACTTAGAACAATCAGTCATTTCTAAATATTGAAAAGTAAGAAAATGATTGTGAAACCGATATATAATTTGATGAAATTCTTGAGCTTTATCACAAATTAAATGAGTAATATTTAAAGCAAATTATTCGAAGTTCTGAAGTAATAGAAAGACTATAAGAAATTTACTAGAAAGCAGAAAATTTTAAAATTATAAATGATGAATAGAAACAAAAATTACTTGGTATGATAAAATTCATTCAAAATTTTAAAAGACAAGTTCAAATAAATCAGCATTGATAAAAAGAAATGATAGTCGTTTTAACGTGAAAGAAGTATAATTTTATTTGAACTTTCATTATTAATCAGATAGTGCATTAATAGTAGTTTATTTAAAAGTTTTAAATTTTCTCTTTTCTATTAATTCCTGATAGAGGGGTTTTGGGGTTTTGGGGGTTTTGGGGAGATCGGAAGAGCACACGTCTGA